GGGGTCATCATTGATTTATGTTATCGATCAATACAGTTACGTAATTATTAATATATGTGTATGTGTGTATATGAAATCCTTCCTAAATATCTACGTCTACGAGCTCCAGTTCCAACGGACAGAGTTAGAAGCAGAATACAAAGCCTACAAAAATTATGCCTGAAAGAAGAGATCCACAGAATCGTTAAAAAATTGCAACATATCAGATCTGAAATTGAGCAATTAAAACAAAAGCTAAAGGGAATACTTACCAATGTAGATTATGATCTTATAACACAATCCTCCAGCAATGCAAAATCAGCAACTTTCAAAAAGTCAAAAAATAGTCAAATCAAAAAGTTCAACAAACTATTAGAAGAGAAATCTTCATCTCAGAACGATGAAGTCAACAATCCCAAGTCACCGGCGATCGATAAAACAAAGTGGGTTATCAATCAATCTCTCAACACATATATTAAGTCCTACAGAAATAAGTGTATTAGAATATGGACTAAATTTCAATGTATCAGTTGACAAACTGAAACCTGAGGATGTCATCCCTAAAATAGAAATAGCACTAAGTGTGGGATAGACAAAACAACGGCTGATGAAGTACGTGCACAATGTGCACTAACATTAAAACGACAAAAATGTGGAAAGCCTAACCTGACAAAACCAGAAATAGAAGCCCTGAAACAACTTAAGAATAACAAGCATATAGTAATCACAAAGTTAGACAAAGGAAATGCAACAGTAGTATTAGACAAATCAGACTATTTAGACAAGGTAAATACTCACACACTCACAAACAGGACCACATGAGGAAATTAACAATTACAGAATCATGCCATTGCAAGTTCATATGTAGCCCTTTAAATCGTATTTAGATATTTTCTCATTATAGATAGCATTGATAAACCTTTCCACTTATTCATGATCCTTCAGTGACCTTTTGTTGTTACACAATAAAGTTCTGTGTATTGATCTAATTCTTGCTAAGTGATCACATGAACTATTCTTTTTTACTCTAATTTATTTTCATATGTTTATCGAATTCCACTACTTTTCTGTCATGAGTTATCAATTCTTTCTTTTTCTTTTTTGAAATATAATCGAAATTATTCATTGATTTGACCTGATCACTTTATATAATGATCCTTTTTGGTTCACATGTGTGAATTAACTGTCTTTCAAAACTAGTTTACGAATAGTTACATCGATCTGTAGGATTTATTGTGCTCACATCATGAGTTCACACTCATGGTGTGCGTGTGCGTGTGTGCATGATCCAGATCACATGATATGATTTGAATAAAACTAGATAGGTATTTTTTAAGGACATTATGGTGTTATATCACCTCAAACTCTGTAATTTAGGGACTCTGTGTAATTTTTATGGCATATGAGGTTAATTTATTCGATATTATAACACATACGTGGCTGAGTTACGTTTCGAGAACAATTTATCGCCCATAATTATATCAATGTGTATTCACACAGTCAAGATATAATAATAATAATAATAATAATAATAATCTGCTTTATTCCAATTCGCAGTACTTATAATACAGAATGGAATTCTCAGCATTTGTCACAATACCTTGCATGTGATTTACTCAAAATATAAATAAAATTAAAAATTAAAACAAAACTAACCAGAGGAATTTGTCCACGGTTACGATATAAAGTCAAAAATATTCGAAGCACGAATTGAGGATATTAAATATAATAATAATAATAGTGAGTTTGTTTCAAACACTATTGCGTCGGTGGTACAGCGGTTAGGACGCTCGCCGACCATGCACATGGTCCGAGGTTCGACCCGCAGCTGACGCAATCCTGATATCTATGGTCGGCCTGATGAATTTAGGCTACCGATATCACAAGCTGTAAATTTCATGCTTGTACCAAAATACTGTGTGGAATCAAGCTATAATAAAATATAATATAAAAAATATATTATCAGTTGAGTTTGGAAATCTTAACATGTTATAGATTATTGAATCTAATGTTCTGTTGATATAGTATAGTGAGGGGAGATACAAAATTAACAGTCATAACACAGCTTAAATGATGTTCACACTTATGAAAAAAAAATAAACAAAACGAAAAAACTGAGAGGATTATAAATATAAGAAATACAATAACAATAAAGTTTGATGCTTTAAGGGTGGAGGGAATGGTTTATTTAGTAGTGCAAAGAAGATTAGTTACTTCATGCCTGACACTATTTTCATCCCATAAAGTACGTGACAAATATGGTATAGTCGAATTTTTATACTTAGACGTACGTGAATAAAGTCTTCTGGAAAGACTTCTTGTTTTACCTGAGGAGACACAAGGTTGGAGCTGCGGGTAAAGTGGGGGATTTTCACAGTCTGACAAAGCTCCTTTAGCAAATTTGTTGCATGACATCAAGTGCCTATCATCAATGACAATGTCAGCGATTGCATTGCAATGGCTGAGCATTTCTACCGATTACTTAACCTAGCAGGGTCAATTATTCTAGCTACCTCAATTTAAATTCCCATTTTACGACCATCTAATTGATCCCGATCTTTTAATTGCACACTATCTAGTAACTAGTGTGACGTGTCTAGTCCCCTTTGTTTGGTGCAGACTGAATTCTATCACATCAGTCAAGTTTTTAATGTGGACACCATGCCACTAGATGGCTCATCATCACGGTGCACTGAGAACTACTGATATTGGATGCTTGGGCACAGTCGGCCACAGGAAGCCTTGACTGACCTAGATTTCGTGGTAGTTGCCACTCAACAGTCAGTCACCAAGACGTATCTGCAGCCTTGAAGGACATCATATCCCTTCTCAGATTCTAACCGGTGTCACCTACTGCTGAGACTTTACGACTGAGTCTGACATCCTGAAGGACTTGAGTGATAGAATTCAGTCTGCATCCACACCAAGGAATAGACACATACACTAGTTACTAACTAGAAAATCAATCGTGAGTTCAAATAGCTCAGTGATAACGTTTCTGACAGCAGCACTGGGTGACACGGGTGAGTGCCAACTAGCATGAAACCTGGGTCAGGCAAGGCTTAGTGCCGATTGCCCCTAACCATCTGATTCCGATCTATGAGTTTAACTTATATAATTAACCTCACTTAAAGTCATTACATAACATATGGTAGATTATATTAATTCTCTTGATTTGATCTATTGGGTCATGAAGCTAATAAAGTTGGTCTCTGAGAGAGTGAGTAAGTTGGTTCAAATTCCATCTGACCTAATTCCAACCTTATTAATACTGCTCATAGCACTTCGTAAGTTCCTTCCTTGGTGAGTGCTACTTATAATCAGATATAAGTAATAAATCAGTAAACGAATTCAGAAAAGTAGCAACATGTTTTGGACACTAGAAAAAGGCAATCGAAGTAGGAAACTGTGAAAAGAATGTTATAAACACTGTGAAGAATCCAACAAACTATCGATTGTGGTGAGTGATATTCTACTAATTTGTAGATGATGTGCAAATAAAGACTTGATGGTAAGGTATGCCAAATTCATGTACAATGCGTTTATCAAGCTTCATCGGTCTGGTCTTCTTTATAGTAGTACTAAAGAGGCTTTGGTTACCTTGATTACGATTCGTATTCTTCTTCCGAGTCTTCAAATATTTTTCAGTAAAATCTGGTGAGTAGTTAATCACTAGTAATGTTGTTGTTACTTTATTCAAATTTTCTTTATATGTTTGATTTCACGTTATTTAACTCTTCTGAATTACTATTTGGACCCGGCAAATTTAAACTTTAAGCACCACTAACTACGATCAATCAGCGAATGACCTCGAACGCACCAATCACGTGAAGGAGGCATTTTCGCGTGTGGAATACATATTTAATTATGAAAAAAATGCATAAAAACTGTATTAAAGTGTTACAGAGGATACATTTGATAAAAATAGCACTCAGTTTTAGGTTGGAGTATCAACAGAGTATGAATTCCGTTGTGGGTAAAATTTATTTTGATAAAGTCTTATAGAGTAATACAGTAATATTTACTGAGCAATAAACTGTGCTTGAAACGTGGTTATCAGTAAATATTACTGTACTGCCTAATACTGTGAGACCTTATCAATATGAATTTTACCCCCAAATGGAATGGAATTATACTCTACCGCCAAAGTGAACAAGTTCTATTCTTATGTCAACAGAGTAATTTAACCACATTCTATGCATGTAATTAATTACCGTGGTCTTCTAACCCTAACAATAACCCCAATCTTTCCTAAATCTAATTCTAACGTAAAAATATCACTAAACATTTTAAGCTTCCAGTATGCATGAACAACTCAGGAAAATGTTACATACTTAGCAAGTTACATTTAGAGAAATGACAACA